TCCTAGGGTGTAACTGCACATGGGGCCGTCCAGACCAAAATCCAACCCCACTGCTCTCCAGTGAATTCCAACTCACAGCGCCCCTAGAGGACAAAGTAGTTTCCAAGGCTGTCAGTCTTTATGGAAGCAAAGCCCAAATTTCCACATGCTTTACTGGACTCAAAATACATTTTAGATCTTTTCACCACAGGGAAAACACACAACGATTAACAGATAGAAGGTGGATGTTATTAATAATTAATTATATACAAGAAAACATTCGTCTTGCTGATCAAATTAGCAAATCTTTTAAGAATTCCCTATTTTCCATGTTGGTGAAGGCTGGGGGATGGGTAGTTTCATAGCTGTCTTGATGGGGAAAATTTCTCTACAGAAGAATTTGACAATGTATATCCCAGATTTTTGAACAATCCTGGTTAAAATCTTGCACTGATGTGTTTGGGTGTACATAGGTCATCCGTGTAAGAGACAATAATCAAAGTAGAGACAGCACAAATAATGAGCAAAGGAGCTTGGTGGCATGGTACGTATGGCATCTGACCGCTACCCGAAGGTTGGCAGTTCAAGCCCACTAGACACTCCGCGGAAGGCAGACTGGGCGATACTTCCGTGAAGATTTACCACCTTGAAAATCCCGGGGGGCTCTCTGTGCGTCAGAATTGACTTCGATGACAGTGCGTTTGGTTTTGTTTTGGTTTTAATAAAGAGCTAGCTGACAGTGTTTGACCTCATTTGAATGGACAGAATCAAATGCTGGTTTTAAAAATGTCCCACAATATTTTATCATTGCAGTGACATTTGGGAAACTTACCAGATTTGCTTGTGATTTGTGTGTGCTGTGTGTGGAAAATATTTGGTATTAAAATACTGGGATAACGTCTTAGACATTGCCAGCACATGCCAGTGACAGAAAGTGCTTGTTTTATTTTTTGTCACAATTTAGTGCTCTTATTAAGCAAGTGAACAAGTCGATAGATGGAACAGCGGACGATGAAGACGAGGGTGTCCCAACGGACCAGGCCATCAGGGCAGGGCTGGAACTGCTGAAGGTAAGTTGTTTGAAGCCCCGGGATGGTGGCATTGTCTTCTCAAGCTTTGTTTCTTAAGTTTGTCTGCTATGAGGTGAAGTGTCCTCAGTCATGTTAGGTAGTTGAGACTTTGCCTGTTTATTTGGAAATGTGAGATGAATAGTTCCAAGTGGAAAATTGGATAGTGGTCATGTTAGTTATAGCGCAGTGGTGGCGCTTGAGTCGAAGGGTCGTGAGTGACAGAGATGCTCACCTTACTGCAGAGTGGGCCAACCCTTCCTGTTCGTTTGTGATCTTGTTAGATAAAAAATACTCGTGCTGTCTTTCACTGATTATAACGGTGGTTGCGTATTAGTCACAAGCTAGCAGATCAAAATGAGGGAGAAAGCATAAACAGCTGCACGTAAACAATGATGTCTCTTTTGCCTCCCGTTGGCCGTCTTCAAATACCCATGTTCATGTAGTTGGGGGCCGATGGAATGCACGATTTTGTTCTCTGTGTTCCATAATAAAGTATAAGCATTGTTCTCCGTGTTCTGAGACCACTTTTAGGTGCAGATGTTGGCTGTCACTCACGAGCTGTTTGCCTTTGGGCAGGTTGATGGCCTCGGCTTCCTTGTCTGCAGCGGAGAGAATAGACGTCCTTCCTGTAAAGACGATTATGTTAAGGCCGTACGTTTCAGCACAGTGTCGGGCTCAGATTGAGAATAACGTTTTTGGGAGGAGTCATTGACCCACCGTTAGGGTATATGGGAGTGTTCCTGATAATTGTCTTGTTGCTCGATCTTCAGATTTGTCTTCTGTTCTTCCTTAAGCAGTGCTTAGAAGTCTGTGTCATGTCTCCTGCTGATGTCCTGTGTCTTGGGCATCCTAGATGGACATTCAGGAGACTGACCATTTTCAAAATGGGGTGTCTGCTGCCAGACACCTCTATGGAGAAAGGGTCTCCCTCAGGTCAAACTGCCCGTCCCCCGACTTCACCAACGTGGGACCTAGGGAATTTTTAAAAGATTTGCTGATTTGATCAGCAGGAAGGATGTTTTCCTGCGTGTAGTTAGGAGTGAGCTCCCCTCACCCGTGTCATCACTGGGTGTTTGCCCTGTGGGGCGTTCATCATCGTCATATTTTAACCTTATACGTCCTGGCATTTTAGTCCTTTCCTTTTGAAAGATGATTTGATCGAACTTTTTCTAGATTAAAGATACAAACTCTGATATTTCATCTAATTTTGTGTTTTGCTTTAATTGCTTTACTGTTTTTTTTTGGTTGTTTTTTGGGTTCCACTTGGTGTATAGACACTAACATTTTATATGGCCCAATTCAGCCGTATTTACCTTTACTGTTGTGCAGAACATATTTGATAACTACACAGAATATCGTGTATTCTGTTAGATGGAAGTTGTAAAGGATAGCAATAAAGTCAGAGCAGTGTGTGGTTTCCCCGCACGTCTTCAGGGATAATTGTCTGAGTTTGGGTTTCTTATTCCATCAGTGTTCGCAGTGTAGTGTATGTTTGTGTCTGTGTGTGTCTCTGGGTCTGTGCCGACTTCGGATGTAGTATCTAACGTGGTCCTTGTCCTGCTTGTGTCCGAGTTGTATAAACACGACATTATACAGGATGTGTTTTTGCTGCTTGCTTATTTACACGCCATGTTTGATTTCCTTTGCTTGTTTTAAGCACGTTTAGAGTTTATAAAAATTATTACCTTGACAATGGCTCCTCCTGTGTCTCTGAGTAACTATCAGCAGAACCCCATTGGGGCCTGAATTGTTCATGAGCAGTAAGTAAACTTTATCTTTAAAAGTAACGCCCCTGAAATTTACTTTGAACGTGTTTGGTGAGCGAACATCTCTGCTCTTCTCCAAATGGCTAGCCCTTTTTCCTGGCTCCGTTTTCTCATGAATCCCCTCCTTTGTAATCTCCAGTGTGTGTCATCCGAGGTCTTAGACAGCTCGGATCTGTTTGTTGGCTGGCTTCGTCTGTTTCCTGATGTTCCCAAGCGAGCAGCAGGCTGACTCGGTGACGGTGACTCTTGCTGCCTGGGAAGCGTTCTGCCCCCTCCCCCACCTGGCAGATTCCCTGCAGATGTTCTTGGGTGGTCTCAGCCACTGATCTTCATTAAAAGTGTGCGGGTGTTTTGTTAAATTCTCTCTTGTTGTTTCCACCTTCTTCTTCTCTCATCACTCCCCCCTCTCAAAAAAAAAAAGAACTTTCGTGAAAATCCCGAGTATTTTGACTGGAATGACCTTAGCTTGTCGTGTCGTTTGGGCAGAACTGACTGGCGTGAACCGTCAGTCTTCCTGCCCGGCAGCAGCACCATAGTAACTTTATTTGTCACACTCCCAGTTTCTCTTGGCCGACTTCTCGTGTTGACGTTTGATTTGCAGCATTTCTAATATGTAACGTTTCAGACTTGAGCGGTCGTACAGGCGAAGAGGTTAAAATGGTTTCCCGGCTTGTTCGTAGGTCCTGTCTTTCACGCACCCCATCTCGTTTCATTCCGCTGAAACCTTCGAGTCGCTCCTGGCCTGTCTGAAGATGGATGACGAGAAGGTAGCGGAGGCCGCCCTACAGATTTTCAAAAACACAGGAAGCAGAATCGAAGAGGACTTCCCACACATCAGATCGTGAGTCCCGTCCCTTCTGATAGTGGGGAAACGCAGTGTCTGGTTGGTGCATGTGTGTCGCTGTTGCCAACTCTCAGATGCTGAGGAAAAAAAATGCCCATGTTATCCTGGGTCTGTACTGTTTACGTTGATTCCTTTCTCCTGGAAGCAAGTGTGGGTGTTTCAGAAGACGCATGAAAACATAGCTTGTCTTTCTGACGTATGAGTTTTGGGTGAAGATTTTGACAAAGACAAATGTTATAGCTCCACAGGCCTGGGTGTTGGAGGCACAGAGTGCACAGTTCACGCGGGGCTGATGTGTAGTGTGGGCGGAGCGGACGGTTCGCGCGCCTCTGATCGTCAGTGTGGGCGGAGCGGACTGTTCGCAGCCGTCTGATGTGCAGTGTGAGCTTAGCGGAGGCTTCGCGCGCCTCTGATCGTCAGTGTGGGGCCCCAGAGCATGAGTAGCAGGGCCATCCCCAGCGTTGTCCTCAGTCCTGGGTGGCGAAGGGACCGGACACACCCAGCAAAGTGAAGTTTGCAGTGCGGTTATTCTCTGGGCGCCAGTGTGCCTGACGGTCGGGAGGCAAGGTGGCATCCCTTCCCCCGGTTGGTCACCGATCGGGAGCTCTGCCCACATAGTTCAGGGGACGGACCTTTGCTCTGTGTGGGTTCCTACCTTCTCCACACGCCGCTCTCTTACCCTTTCTGGACAGAGCACAGTGATGGTGGTTGTTGTCACCCCACCTGTCGCTCTGGCTTAGCCCCTGGCCTGCTTCGTGTCTTTGTAGGACATGCTTCCTCGGGTGGGAGCCTTGCCTGACCCTGCTCCCTCAGGGAGAGGCTGTGAGGGGCGCTGCCCCCGAGGCTCAGGGCCCGGGTGTGTTCTCGTTTCCCCGGCTGCGAACTCAGCCCCAGAGCCTGCTGCTGGATGGCACTGGGCCATCTGTGAACACTGCCTGAGGTGCGTATCAGAGTCGATAGCACCGACTGGTGCTGGCAACAGTGAGGACCGTGTTGCTTGGAACCGTACACGCGCCTGGAGGCTGCGTTTCCTTTTGGAATGATATCACGGCTCTTCTTCAGACCAGAGTTTTGTTAAGTGTGTGTGTATATATGTGTCTGTCTGTATAATGGTACGTAATTTACTAACTGCCTACTTACTGTGCTGTCATTTAAACCTGGTGACAATTCAGTGAGGTGTGGCTGTTACCTTAATCTTCCAAATGAGGAGTAATGGGCTCTAGGGCTGTGGGTGGCAAGTGACAGAGCCAGCGTATCACAGAGGTCTATTGGCTCCAGTGCCAGTGACCCATCTGCCACGGTCCGGTGCCTGCCTGCCTTTCCTTTTGAGAGCTTTTCTTTTTTTGCACTTTCTTGTGATTTGGCTGGAAGTCTGCGCAGCGTTGGTGTTCCGTTTAGCAGGTCCTGCCCATTGGGTATTGTGATGTTGGCTGCCATGCCCCATGGTCTGACAGCTCTCTGCCCACTTCCTCCCTGTGTTCACCGTTCCCTTCGTCCTTCTGTCCTGTCCCTTGCTGCCGTTGGAGCTCTGTCCCTGGGCACACGCTACCCTGTGATCTCATGTGCTTGATGGCTCTACGGGGTACAGTTCCTTTCTTAGCTGGAGCGTTGGCCGAGGTTTGGTTTGACTTCCTCACTGGAGGTTTTCAGGATTTTCCTGCTAGGCAGTCTTTCCCAGAACCCTTCATATTGTAAAGCACCTTGGGTAGTGATATTTTCAGGGCAACCTACAAGAGCAAGGGAGAGAGGTGGATGATTTAGAACACACCAGGGCATCTAACCCACCCGCTGCTTCGCTGTGGAGCTGCAGGATGTGGAACAGATAGGGCCTATGTGTCTCCAGGAGAATTAACTCAGCTGATGGCCAATCCCACCGTGTGCACACTGCTCTCAGGGAGCAACTCCTAGTGTTCGTCTTCCAGGGAACAAAATATGATGCAGATTTCACACTGGAAATTATTAAATTGGGCAAGTTGATTTTGAGGGAAAACGATAGCATTAGGTGAATATTTATTAAATTAGCCTCTTTGGAAGTCACCAGAACAATGAAAAGTGTGTACAAGTGGAACCTGCTACCGACTGGGTGGAATCAGTGACAGAATGCCTGCCATTTACACTGGTCAAATGGGACAGTGCTGATTGATTGATGCACATACCCTTAAATCAGGTGTGTAGAGAGTGGCCTATCATTTGCTAGGATCCCTGGTAGTGCAGTTGTTAAGTACTCAGTTGCTAAACAGAAATTTGGCTGTTTGCACCTATCAGCCACCCTGCACGGGAAAGACCTGGTGATCTGCTTCCGTAAAGACTGACAGCCTTGGAGACCCTGTGGGCAGTTCCACTCTGTCCTCTAGGGGCACTGTGGGTCAGAATGGACTCCACGGCAGTGGGTGTGGTTTGGGCTTTGCTTCTGTGAAGATTGACAGCCTTGGAGACCCTGTGGTACAGTTCCACTCTGCCCTCTAGGGGCGCTGTGGGTCAGAATGGACTCCACGGCAGTGGGTGTGGTTTTGGCTTTGGTTCTGTGCAGATTGACAGCCTGGGAAACTCTGTGGTGCAGTTCCACTCTGTCCTCTAGGGGCGCTGTGAGTCAGAATCGACTCCATGGCAGTGGGCGTGGTTTGGGCTTTGTTTCTGTGAAGATTGACAGCCTTGGAGACCGTGTGGTGCAGTTCCACTCTGTCGTCTAGGGGCGCTGTGGGTCAGAATGGACTCCATGGCAGTGGGTGTGGTTTGGGCTTTTCTTCTGTGAAGATTGACAGCCTTGGAGACCCTGTGGGCAGTTCCACTCTGTCCTCTAGGGGCGCTCTGGGTCAGAATCAACTCCACGCTGTGGGTGTGGTTTGGGCTTTGCTTCTGTGGAGACTGACAGCCTTGGAGACCGTGTGGTGCAGTTCCACTCTGTCCTCTAGGGGCACTGTGGGTCAGAATGGACTCCACAGCAGTGGGTGTGGTTTGGGCTTTGCTTCTGTGAAGACTTGATTGCCTTGGAGACCCTGTGGGGCGGTTCCACTCTTTCTCATGGGGTCACAATGAGTTGGAATCGACTTGACATCAATGGGAATCATTTGCTAATTTAGAGGAAGGGCAGATTGTGGCATGTGCGGACTTTGAAAGACGTAAGGGAACCCAGTTTCAGCTGTGACAGGGTGAAGGAGAGACTTTGTGTTCATGTTGCTTTTCTGTGGGGTGGTCTGCTTTCCTGCCAGAGAAACACAGCTTAGAGGTCAGGGGGGACGGGCCCAGGGTAGACAAAGAGGGGAGTTGGGAAGCGAGAGTCTCCTGACCAGCTGCTTGGTCAGGCAGAAATGTGCTGAACTGCTGAACAGAATGTTGGTGACTTAAGGTGCCACATTCTGCCTTAGGCTGTCGCTCAGGGGTCTGGTTTCATCCCCAGTAGCAGCAAACCAGAACGAGGGCTCCCTTGCAGCCCGGGGTGGGCCCCAGACCCAGTGGAGCTGGCTCTCGTTGAGAGGGTCCCAGTGATGTGGAGAGAAGCCGCGGAGCTGGAGGACACACTGCCCTTTGCTGTCTTGACGCCCTGCCCTGTGCATAGCCGCGTGCAGTCTGACACCTGACCCCGTCCACGCACAGCACAGGATGCCCTACGTCCTGTCCCGTGCGCAGCCACGTGTGCCCGAAACCATGCCCTGTCCACAGCCGCATGCTGCCTGGTGTCTGGCCCCGTGCACGTGTGCCGTCTGGCACCCTACCCCGTGCTGCGAGCCCACTGAGAAATCACGTGCAGCCTGAGTGCAGAGTCTGATGGCAGATTTTTTTTTTTTTTTTAATTTTTATTGTGATTTGGGTGAAAGTGTACAGAGCAAGTACATTTTCCACACAGCAGCTCACATATACTTTGTCTCATGACACTGACTGCAATTTCCCACAATGCAACAGCTCCCTTCCCACTTCCTCCCCATAGTCACCTCTTCCCTGTGTCCATCCCTCCATGCACTCCTGCCCCCTGAGCTGTCTCCCTGTGCACACACAGCCCTTCCTTCTCCCATGATTCATCTCTCCAAGGAGTGTATCTACCTCAGGTAAATGTTCAGCTCATATGCCTGTCTTTTGTTTGGCTGGAAGCCACAGTCATGGGTTCAATTCCAGACTGAAGGGCAGCTAGGGGCTAGTCTCAGGGCTTCCATCAGATCAGGCTCCATCAGGCCAGCAAACCTGGTCCTTTTTTAAAAAAAAAAAAAAAAGTGATTTTAAGTTTTGTTCTACATCGTTCTCCAACTCTATCCAGGATCTCCTATATAGATCTCCCTCCAAGTGGTTGACAGTGGTAGCTGGGCACCATCTAGTTCTTCTGGTCTCATAGTCGTATAGGCTGAGGATCACACGGTATACCAGTTGCTTGGAGTAATTGTTTCCATGAATCTTTGGTTTTCTTTATTCTTCTTTGCTCTGAATGAGGAGAGATCCATCATTGCATCTAGATTGTCACTTGCAAGCTTTTAAGTTCCCAATTGCTACTCAGGAAAGTAGCATGTGGAACAATGCTTTTGTGTAGTATGTTATGCCAGTTAAGCTTGATGTCCCTGCAACCATGGTCCCAAGCCATAGGTCTAACTACTCGCTCCCCCTGGGTGGGTGACTGGCCAAGAAGTGACTACAACCTTGTCCCTTGTCAGCTCTACTATACACCTGGGAATTCTTACAGAACATACAAATACACTTGTAGAAATATTGTCTGCCAACGCTATATATGGTCTTAGGCACACTACCCCCTCCATAGACATATCTAATAGTTCAGCCTGTCCACCCACCTATCCACCCATATTTCCATGTTTGCCTTCACTGACAACGCAGTACTGTATGTGTAAAAAGGTTCATCTTTGTTGTCTATACCTCCCATGTACCTCTCTATGTCTTCCTGTTCCTCAGTGCCACCATGTCAATCACTCACATTTGGGACATTGCCCTTCTCTTCACTCAAATCAGTACTTTATCCACCTTACAGTATTCCTTTCCTTTCCCTCCCCTCCCAGCCC